AGATTTGCCGCACGAATCCTCCACTAGATACGAAAATGCTTGCAGATGAACCTACAATAATCAAGTAATACCATGATAACCCAGTGGTATGCGCGAACGGACATTCATTCACACGAACACTCCGTGCGTAACCCGAAATATAAGTGATGCTCGGATGTATACAAAGATTAACACAAAACCCAAAATAGCAGATGAAAACATTTTCAGGCAACTTGTCGGCGAATGGACCAATGATTGGAAATAGACCGGAAGCAGCGCAAATAACCGCAGCAACTGAGAGCATCTTGAACAAAACCATCCCTCTGATTAATGGTAGAGCTAGACTGAGTATATCTGTAACAATCGGACCATCGTACAGTTTCGAAATAACCGAATTCACAACGTCTACGAGCACAACGCCCACAACAACAACGGGTACGACCACAACGGGTGCGATCACAACAGGTGCGACCACAACAGGTGCGACACCTATTCGTTTTCTGCCCCAAAAGCTGCCACCGAACACGACTTTCTTGCTCTCCCCACTATTACACAGTATCGTTTTATGATTATGCATATTCGTACTGACAAAAAAATTTCCATTAGACAAAACTGGTGCGACCACAACGGGTACGAGCCAAGGGCACGGACGCACGAAGATAGTACGTGCGGACACAAACCCTCTGAACGGTGGTAATCGACTCGCACTCATTACACACGTAAAACCTGGATCATCATATAGCTTCGATACAACCAACGTTAAGTATTCGAAAGCAAACGAGCAAATTCACCTAAATGTGACGATGTGCAATGGTAATGAGGCAGATGCAGTAACTGTGAATAGGTCGAATACCGATACGTATGAAGTATCTGCAGAAACAATAAAGCGGATGATCGAGACGTTCAACTGTTCAGTTAAAAGTCGAGTGAAACGTAACAATGAAAACGGCAACTATAGTATGACTTTAATCATTTATGTAGATAAAAACGATACGTCTAATAATATCACTATAGTTGGTTATTCTATTTATCCTCCATCAACAACAACTCCTCCTTCACCAGCACCCACACATACGACACATACTTCATCACCGCTCACTTCTCCTTCACCAGCACCCACACATACACCTACGCATACGTTCACGGCTGCATCCACAACGCCCCCAGCGAGTTCAATCGGTACCGGTTGGATTGTTGCAATCGTGTTAATAACAATA